CCAGACATCCTCACTCCCAGGCGCGCCTGTAGATGGAGCCTCTGGAGCAACTTGAGTTAGGAGAAGTCACATGGCCTCAATCTGTGCTATAGCTAACATTTTTTTTCTTTCCTCTGTTCATTTCTGTTCTTTGGTTGTTGTTTTTGTCAGTACTGGTGATTGGACCCAGGGCCTCACGGGTACTAGGCAAACACTCTACCACCAAGCCTTAACCCATTTCTATTATCTTTATGATGTTAAATTGCCATCATTTCAAAATAACTTGTTACACTCAAAATTTGTTCTTTGTAGGCTTCACAGTCATCACAAAGCAAAGATCTATTAGCCTAACAAATAACAAGCAAGGCATCAATGTGCCCTGTTAGAGTAGTCCACACAAGCACAGAAAACTGTACAAGCCAGAGACGGAAACTGTAGGGAAAAATGTACTATGAGTTTTTGTTAAGAAGTGATTAAACACTTTATCTCAGAAACAAATATGATCAAATAGTTCTTTTTTCTAGGATCGATGATTTTTTTTAAATGGAGTTCTAAAATATTGACTAATAGGTTAAGAAGTCAGTGTAGACTGAGAAACTGCTTTCTGAGTGTTCGTGAGTTACCTCCTCAGCCTTCACAGAGGTTCTGTGGAGTGGGTTGCCGTTATTTTCCCATTGTTCAAGAATGGAAACCGGGGCATAGAGCAACTTTCTTGCCTGAGGTCACACAGCTTAGAGAAGGGAAAGTACAGATTAGAAGCTTGACGACCTGACTCAACTATCCACTCTCCTAACCCCTCCTCAGAGAGACTTGTAGACGATTTATCTGAGACAGTTTCACCCTACAAAGTAGGGAACCAGTGCTTCTGATTTTGATTTACTAATATTCGACATCCACTGGAGATGGCCAGTAGCCCTTGGATCTCTAAGTAGGAACCTCTTGGGAAAGATAAACCTAGATATGCAGGTTACTTTTCTCATTGCAGTGAAAATAGTACTTGAGAGAAGCAAGTCAAGGAAGTACTTATGTTGTCTTATACTGTGAAGTACAGTCCATTGTGTCAGGGAGAGCATGGTGGCAAGAGTGTGAGGCAGGTGGCTACAGGGCATCAGGAGCCACAGATGTTGGTTCTCAGCTCACTTATTTTCTCCCTTTTACTCAGTCAGCATCCTCAGCCCAGGATGGTGTCATCACATTTAGTGAGGGATCTCCCCCATCACTTAACCAAACTAGACATTTCCCCACAGATATACCCAGAGGTTTGCCCTCTAGGTCATTCTAGATCTTGCCTGTCCACTTGACAACAAGGATTCACTGCCAACACTGGGTCATTATGGGATAGATTTTAATAAATGCCCAAAAAATTGGTGATAGAACCAAAGGGGTGTAAATGTAGAGAAAGTAAAGAATTAAAACAGTTTGGGTCTACTAGGGATTAGAGTTGTACTCACTAGACCTGAGGGTGGGCGTGGTGGGCGAGGTAGACAGAGACGTTAGAAGGGTGCAGTTTCAGTTAGGGAAAAAAAAATAGCCCATTATAGCAAGAGAAAGGCAGAAAACGTGAATACATAAGGCAATGTGGAATACGTAGACTTGTGTGTGGAAAAAAAAAAAAGACATCATCTGCATGTTCTGTTTGCCTTAACGTATATCCTGCACTGTTACCAACTGTGATTGGGGGACCGGATTTTAAATTCAAACGCTGAGAAGTTGTCAAGACAAACCCAGTGCTCTTGTGTGTGACTTGATCGTGATGCTCAGGGTTCTAAAATAGCACAAGTTCAAAAACACAATTCAGTGGTCCAGCTCAGGTCATCTCAGTGAAGAGTGAAGGGCTGCTTCCCACCAGACAGTTTCAAAGTGGTACCCAGCGCCTTTAGCACAAAAGGAGAGATGGCTTCTGTTAGGCTGCAGTGCAGATGTGTCCTGAAGCAGAGGTGAAGTATTGGTAAAAATATATCTGTCATACACTACAGTTAGGAGTGATCGATAATGCTATAAACAACAGTTGGTGTCTGTTTATCTTTGTCACTTAGCATCTTATCAATTTAAAATTAAGAACTGACAACTAGACAGGACTAATGAAGTCCCTTTACATAAAATATATGGCCCTCCCTCAAGCATTGGGCATAGTGATCATCTCTCTGCAGCACTATGTGGTGGCCAGATTTCTTGGGCTCTGTGAAGTTCGCTGATTTTGTTTATTAATTCTAAACTTGATCACTTTGTGCCCTCATGAGTAAAAATAAAAGGAACAGTCTTTTTTCATAGGCTGGCAAAAGCCAAAGAGAATGCTGGAAGTTTTTATGTTGTTGTTTCTGAGACAAGATCACAGTCTGTGGCCCTTGCTCTCCTGGAACTCTTGATACTGATCCAGCTGTCTGTCCTCTGACTCAAAGAGACCCAACTGCCTCTGCTTTCTGAGCACAGAGATTATAGACACTGTTGCCTTGCTGTTGATGTTTAGGCCCATTTTAAGCCCAGCACTGTCTCTTAGACCACATTACCACGGTTTTCAGTGATCTTCCTTCCATTACCCAGTCTTTAGGTTCTCACACTGTTGCTATTTCTAGTGTGAATGATTGCATTAAAAGTGGTCTGATGCCAGGGAAATGGGTCTGCAAGTAAGGATATTTTGTATTTGACACTTGGCACTGTCTTTATTGTCTAGTCTTACATTTCAGACTTGTCAGATGCCTTTGACAAGAGAGGAAATAAAGAGAGACCTGTTTCAGATAAAGCCTGTAGAAGCAGTAAGTCTGCAAATCATATCTGGGAACAGGAAGTTGGAAGTAGCATTAGTATGCAAGAATGTAACTCCTCCCCTCTCCCACACAAGGCTCAAGTAACCTTGTTTAGTCTGGGAGAGAACAGCTCTCACAGTACTGACTGAAATCTATGGAACAAGGGGCTGGGGTAGGTGCAGAACAGTTTTTTCCCAGGTAACAGCTTCACTCTGGGTATGGGGCATGATTCCTCCACTGGACAGGTGCATTTGGAAGGGTGACCCGGAAATAGCCTTGGAGTAAGGTAGATCTCCAGAGAGGAATACCTCTCCAGAAGGGGCTTCCACCAGCTGGCAGTGCCCCCTGAACCCAAGTCATGTTCTCCCAGGTGTCCAGCCCTTCGTTGGAACCCTTTCTGATTGCCATGGTGCAGTTCTTTTCTTCAGAGTACTTATTTGGTCTCTTTATACTGCTGAAGATGTGCTGAAAGGACCGGGGAATTAGTAAGTCTTAGAAAAGAGGACACAGGAGAAGTCACTCACTCACAGAAGGAAGGCTAGCACAAGCGAGAGCAGGGGAGGCTGCAGGCAGATGATGAGCTAATCACAGACCCCTCAACAATGGCGAGGAGGAGATGGGTTAGAGAACTCATTTTAGAGGTGAGAGAACTTTTTGATACAGTGGCTGAGGAAAAGTGAGGCAAGAGGCAAGTGTCTCTGTTTCATAGGCGTGCCATAAGTTTAATCTCGCAACACTGAAAAATGGCCGCATTAAGAAAATCAATAGAAACCATAATTGTTATGAGGGTGTCTTGAATATCTATTTGATGTGTGTCAACATTCTTTCTTTGCTTGGTTTATAAACAGTTTGCAAAATTTTGCATTCAGTATGTAACTTTTTGGTTGTTATTCTAACCTTCTCAAGGACTCACCTTATTCATTGACTTTTAAGCTCTTGGGCGTGCACGACATAAAAGAAGCCTGCAAATAGCCTCTAACTCTTCAAGCTAGTCCGAACTTCCCCTGCAATACCATTCTCTACCAGACCTCATTCTTGTTTGGGTTAAAGTTTGTCCAACGAATCCTTCCAGCTTCCATTTCCAGCCACACAGTTTGATGCTTATTTTAATCAGCTGCTCATGAAGGTAGAATTTAGCAACAGTTGCCGCGACATAAGGTGGGTTTCCTGTAGAGCAGGTTAGCAGGTGGCATTCTGTTGGATAACCCTTTCTTTCATCCTTTTCCACCTACCTTTCAGCTGTGAGAATAAATCTAAGAAAACTGCTGTTTGGCCTTTTAGCACATTGCCAGCTTTGGCAATGGCAAACTAACTGGTTTCTGTACTAAACACCACTGAAATGAAATAAATTAGTCTGATGGAAGCTTGGCACCCTGATGACTACAAATGTGGAACCATCAACAGATGCTATTTGCTGAAACGGAAGGCTCTGCTAGCAGATGGGTGAAAGTTAAACACAAATTGCACTGTTTCTTTTCCTTTTGGTTCATTTGTTTTTATGGCAATATAAAAAATCCTGAGGTATTAAGTACAGTAAACTTGTAGCAAATGCTTCATGGCTGTTTTGGGTTTTCTGAGATCTTTGAAATTACACTCAGAACATTCTTCATTATATGAACTCATTGAAACTGAAATGCAAATTCTTCATCATGTCTAAAACTTCCTTAGGTATTCATACTCCAATACTGAAAATAATAATGAGAAGGAACATCCAAATATTCATAGTGAGATATTATGTCTCTGTCTTAAATATAGGGCTGCAATAAAATAATATCTAGCTGTCACATCTCCAATAGTCATTATGCATTTAGAACGAGAAACTTTTCACAATATTCTATTTCCTCATACACTATTGAATCATTTAGATAGCACACCTACAAAGGGAATGGTGTCTTTGTTCACTAACTCAGTGACTCATATGCCAGTTAAACTAATCATTGTAATTTGATACCAACTTTTGAGAGCAATAATGGCATTATTATTCAGCCTATAAATTTAGGAACTCCTTTCCACAGAACTGTTTATTTTAACCAAATTCATATGTAGTTCATATGTCTCTAAAGAAATTGGGATTTATCCTTTTTATCTTTGTTCTAGCTCCTAAGATTATTTATTGAATCATGTTTATAATAATAGAATGCGGGAAATTTTAGCATAGTAGGAGTAATGGAATAAACACCTAAATGTTTTTAAAATGTTGAAAATACTTATAGGGGAAGATTGTCTGTAATTACACTGCCTTTTAACCTTGAAATTTGTTGTTATTCATATTTATAGGGTCAGGATCGTGTCGATTTAGTTATTCTGACCCCAGTGTCACTGTGTCGTACACCAAGAACAATACTGCCGATTGGATTCAGCTCGAGAAAATCAGGTTTGTTACCATTCAAAGTATTTGCTTCAAGTCTGCTGTAAGCAGGCTTCTGTCTCTCTGTTTGCCTTCACTCCACTCTGACCTTTTTCTTCATGTTTAAAATACTTCGGTTGTTAGCTGGGCACGGTGGTGGATGCCTTTAATCCCAGCACTTGTGGAGGTAGAGGCAAACAGAATTATGGGAGTTCAAGGCCAGCATGGTCTACAAAGTGAGTCCAGAACAGCCAAGGCTACACAGAGAAACCCCTTCTCAAAACAAACAAACAAACAAAAAAGAAATACTTTTGTTGTTTATTAACTCAGGTCATGAGTATACATATTATGGCCTGGCCTGCCTGAGGGAGATGTTGCTAGAAATGTAATTTTCCTATTCATAACTTCCTGTCAATATCCTTATACCAAACTGTTTGGGGCTGCGTTACATTTGAGATCATACCTTTTGAGAGAGCATCCTTGTCACATAACATCACCAGCTGTGGCAGGCAGGAGCTGAGCTGACTCCGGCCTGGCATACAATGCAGAGAATATGTCCAGTAACTGACTGCCTGCCTCCATTCCTGTCCATGGTGATATGGGTTCATGGATGCTAGGTCATTTGCATCTCATCCGTAACTCTGTCACTTAGCTTTTAATGTCCCCCAGGCCCATCTTTAAATCCTGTGCTTGCTTTACTTTAAGGGTTCTCCAATAAGAAAATGAAGTAGGGTGCTCCAGGTCAAAGGAGCTCTCTAATGTTGGAAAGATTTGATAAACTTAGAAAACCCCAAGTCATGTTTGCCCCTGCTGCAAAGTTCAAACCATGAGCTAAAATCCAAAGTGGATGATTCATTACGGGAATAAGATGCAAAGGAAAGCAATGCCCCACACTTGTGACTGACATGCTGTCCGCTGTGCTGAGGGACATAGCCCCACACTTATATTACAGTGATTGTGGTGACTGGGTTAGTTCTCAAATTGGAAATTTTTAAACTTGAACATTTCCCATTAGTTTTGAGACATTTGTTTTCCATCAGCTCTTTTCTTTATATTAAAAAGACACAGTGATCTGTTCAGGGAAGCAGAAGAAATATTAGGTTGATAATCCTTAATACTAACTAATTACAAGGCTTCTAGAAGTACATTAAAAAATAAACCCCTCACATCTAAGCTTTAGTCTAACAAAACTGAGAAAGGCAATTCTGAGTCAGTATTTCAATAAACTAGTCCCCCACACCGGGATGAAATATCATTTACTAGTGGTCCCCACGCTCCATCAGGCTACGTCAGCCTAATGACAGCTCTTTCTCTTCTTTCTGATGCTAGATGTTTTGAAAATGCATCTAAGTATCCAATATGAATGCAGTCAAACCAACATACATATAGAAATTTACCTATCTCTCTACAGCTGTCCTTCTACTATATTATATTATCTTAACCTAAGTAAATTATAATCTGTATTTCTTGCTGGAAAAGAGCAATGTGCTTATAAAGGGATAAGTTTTGCAACTACACATTTGATTGCCCATATGAGTATCACATTCAGCTGAGAACATTTTTTTTTTTTCATGAAATGGCACTTTCAATTTTAGGCTGCATACCAAACCCCACCGTATTCAGAAATGCAAATTCCCCATACCATTGGTGATCAGCATGAAAGTTTTTCTTCTAACTACTAGCTGAAACCGAAGTTTCAATTTAGTTTAAATTCAATTCAGTTTAAATTCTTTCTGAAGCTAAAAGAAAATACTCTGCACAAAATATTGTAAAAAGAGAAGGAAATTGATTGCCCCCAAAGGTGAGATACACAATCTATAACCCCACTGGCAGCTCTGAAGATATATATGTGCTTCACTGGTGAGGGAAAAATATGGCTTTTTCTCCAGCCCTTCCACAGCTGATTTATAGTCCAGCCTACCACTAGTTTGCATTTTAGCACCATTTTTAATCTCAGCTAAAAACGATCATTTTTACAACAGCAGATTTCTCCTTTGGTAGAATAAAATGACTGAAAAAACCTTTATTATATAGCAAAAAGAGCTAGATTCTAAGACATGTAATATGAAAAGCTTATTAAATTGTCACTTTTTAAAAGACTGATCTGTGTATAATTGTAAGTAATGATAAAGGAATACATTTAATTCCATGGCAAATCTCACATTTTATTCAGTCATCAGATGTAAAAACATAGCTGATGACTAAAAATAGAATAACTAGTATATAAAGACTATCTGTCATATATACATATATATAAGTATATATACTTAAACACATCACATATAAGTATATATGTGTGTGTGTATCTTAAACATGTTAAAATGACCTCTGATTGTTGCATAATTTCAAAGTAGGAATCAACATTAATTTCTGTGTTTTTTTCTCATCAAAAGAATGATCCTAAAGGGAACCTTTACCATGTTTTAGAACTCTTCCTCTAGATACAGCTTCACTCTTTTTGTATTACCCTAGTGGCCTGTGTCACTCTACCCCCATTGTTCTTCTCCCATCTCCTTTGAGCCTGCTTTAATAGGAAAATTGTAACGAGCAGCAAACGCTGACGGTTGGACCCTGGGTTGCATTCCCTCTATGACGAACACTGTGTGCTCACAGCGAGGCTTTGGTCTTAGCTGTGTACTTGACCTCCCTTCTCACTGCTTGTTCCAGAGCCCCTTCCAACGTCAGCACGATCATCCACATCCTCTACCTTCCCGAGGAAGCCAAAGGGGAGAATGTGCAGTTCCGGTGGAAGCAGGACAGTCTGCGTGTAGGTGAGGTGTATGAAGCCTGCTGGGCATTGGATAACATCCTGGTCATCAATGCAGCCCACAGACAAGTCGTTCTGGAGGACAATCTCGACCCGGTGGACACAGGCAACTGGCTCTTTTTCCCTGGAGCAACGGTTAAGGTTTGAGCACGTTCATTCCTTCTCCCTGTTGAAACCCAAGGCTCACTGAACCCGTTATTTCAAGACAACTCTTTTCCGAGACAACTCTTTGAGTACTGACACTCTTATATCTCATAGCTCACCATTTAAGGGTTTGATATCACTTTTTAAAAGCATTTGTTTATTGATTCATTTAACAACTGCTTGGGAACTCAGACTGGGCCGAACCCTGAGAACATAATCATGAAAAGGCAAATAGCATTTCTTCCCCCTTTTGTGGCTATCAACTTAGGAAAGCAGGTAGGCACATAGCTGTGCAAATACAGAACTGCCTAGTTGTCATTTTCTAGGAAAGCGTAGAGTTTTGAGACAGCACCAAATCCAGGCCTTGGGAATTAGGAAGGTTATCCAGAAAACAGGGAATGCAAGCAGATACTGAAGGGTGGTTGGAAAGTGGCCAAGAAGGAGGAGGAATAGCATTCCAAGAATTGGAGCTCTCATACACAGAGGTTTGAATTGAATGTTTGTATCTTATACCCCACATATGTGTGTTCCAAGACTAACCTATGGGGCTAGAAATAGGAGCCCTTGTGAGGTCATTCAGTCATGAGGAGGAAGCCCTTGTGAATGGGGATTAGTGTTCTTATGGAGAACTGTCTGGCCCTCAGCATGTGAAGACGTAGGAAGACTGAGGTTGTATGGCCCCATACTAAGTCTTCCAGTGCTTTGATCTTGGACTCTGACTTTCAAAACTATTAGAAAAAGGTGTTCCTATTTAAAATCCAGGCTATGATGCCCTATAAAAGCAGCCCTAAACTAAGGTAGATAGTCTAAATCTGTACATTATGATCCATAACAATAGCAAAATTACAGTTCTGAAGTAGCAACAGAATAATTTTATGCTTGGGAGTCACCACAACCTGAGGAGCTGTATTAAAGGGTCACAACATTAGGAAGGTCGAGAAGCACTGGGTCTAGATGGTGAAAGCAGAAAGCAGGAACCTCCTAAGTGGGTTCAAAACAGTTCTCCAATGTATTCGGAGACCTGTGGTAAGTAATCCTGGTGTCACGGCAAGTGAGAAGAGTGTGGAGATCTGCTAGCTGCTGTAGGATTGGAACTCTATCTGAAGATCATACGCACTGAAGTTCTCTACATCGGAGCCAGTCACATTGCTCTTCTAAGAGAGAACACTGAATTAAGGGGTGTGGGCAAAGACCAACTAGCTGCTTACAAATGGCTCAATGGGAGATCTTATAAGGCAGGATTAGGGGAGAGAGGATGGAGACATGGACATATTTCGGATTTAGTAACCAGGGAATGGAGGAGACTGGGGAACTGATAAAGAAAAGGAAGGTAGAGGAAGGACAGGTTTGGGCAGCTAGATTGACAAGGCTGTTATTTGCTGAAACAAGAAATATAGGAGGAGTAACAGGCTCACAGGACTGGCTGAAGGTAGCTTTAGTTTGGACACATAGCTCTTGATGTTGTTATCACCAAGTAACAAGTAGATGGCAGGAAGTCAGAGGGCCATGGGTCAGAAGTTACAAAGATGCAGTTTTGGCAACTGTGACCTGGTGAATGGGGATAGCGATCAGGAACTTGCCTGGTGAGAGACTATGTGGCAGAGAGCCAGTGCAGAAACTGCCGTTAGGCCCTTACCTGGATCTCTGGGGTCTCTAATATATAGAAATAAATTGCAAATTCAGCTTACAGATTTTTTTTAATTTTTTAACTATAACTTCCTGATATAAAAAAGAATCCTGTGTTAGAAAAGCGTGAGATCACTAGAAGGGGAACTAAGAGACTACAAAGGCTTAAAATAGCTTCCTCTTTTATGTATGTAATATAGGGCATTGCTTGGCAGGACCCTTTGCTTGGCAAGTATTCTACCACTAAGCTACATCGTCAGCTCTCTTTTTACTATTTGGGGTGGGGTTACAACTTCTTTACAAGTTGCCCAGGTTGAACTCATCATCCAGTCCGTATAGGTCTCAAACTTACGGTGCTTCTACCTCTGTCCTCTGTCCTCTGCCCTCTGCCCTTTGCCCCTTGCCTCCACTGTCTCTCAGGTGTCTAGGATTAGAGAGGCCTGTACCACAGGGTACAGCTTGCTTATCCCCTTTTAAGAATTTTTTCATTACAATACAAAAACATCAACAACAAAAATAACAGGGCTGAAAATTATTTAATAACACCTCAACCCAGAAACTCTGCTTCTTCCCCAGAAGGGCAAAACTTGTCATTATTTAAGCTCAGGGTGATGTAGACTGGTCTTGGAAACAGGCAACTGCTCTGCTCAGTTCGGGAAAGCATCCCGCTAGATCTCTTACAGAAAAAAGTCCAACACAGCCCAAAGTGGTGCCCCCCCTTGAAGGAGTCCACACTTTCCCTTTGCACAGAGAACTTTTGTCAGGGTACTCTGCCTGAGGTCTTCTGCCCACCTCATCGAAAGAGGGCTTTCTGCTGTCTTTCTACTAATGAGCAGGTACTGAACCCTTCCCTGGCATGGTTAGTTATCATCTGACTCTCGTACCCTCTGTTAAATGGATGTGCGTTTCTGCCTCAAATTACAAGCTATTATACTAATCTAATTAGCTACTTGGTTCCTTAATGCATCTACTTTGGTTCCACCCATGATAAAAATGCATGAAGTCTGCTTTTGCTTCTGTAAAAAATGTAGTTAAATTAGAACTTTGGGTAGAGAATGCTTTTTTTTTCTTTTTGGTCTTTTGTTCCACTCATAAGCTTACTAAACACATAGCTAAGAATTGCCAAGGGAACTTGGTCTAATAAGAAAAAGAATGTCACTGTGGTAACGAATTATTTCATTGCTTTTAAGTCACCTGACAGAAGTTCTTCTCTGATGTTTCTTTTGAAAGCTTGAAATAAATGCCATAGTGCAATCTAATAATTTGTTTTTTTAACTCATTTGTATGACCACGCTTGGTTTTCATTTGAAATATCTCAAAATGAAAACCTTTTCTTTGACCAGATGTTTCCAAATTTTAAAATAAAAGTTTTTTTTTAATACATGAAATGCATCTTTCAAATATTAATCATTTCCTTAGTGTTCCTCCAAGATACACTGCATACAACTATTTAGAAAACATGGCAGCTCCCTGTGGGCTATGAGGGTGTTTTAAATATTGCTTTGTTTTGGACTTTAATTGTAAGGATTACAGGTGTTTGCTCAACATGCTTTGTCTTCTTGTGTTTATTAAATGTTTCTAAGGTAGTTACATTTAAACTAAGTCAAAGAGAAAGCCCATCCATGATCAAGAGAGAAATAAAGAAGTGTGACTGTGTGTCTGTGTGTGTGTGAGGGTAGGTGTGTGTGTGTGTGTGAGTGTGTGTGTGAGTGTGAGTGTGTGACTTCAAAAGTCTCTCAATGCTGATGTTAACAAGGTAAAACTGTATACATAGTTCTGACTAAATTGCTCAGCTGCTGATCTCAAAGACAATGTTTAAAGGTAATTGCTGGAAAAGGAAAGAAAAAAAAAGACATTGTCACTCACAGTATTTCTCTCATCTCCAGATGTTTCAATTTGTTTGAAAATATTCACTACTTTATCTGAACTATCATTGTTTATCTCAAGTAGAACAAAGTGGCAAAAGATTAGACAGAGTAATTAATTAGCTTAAGAAGTCACATGACCCAGGGAACTATAGGTATAAGCTTCCAGCTTCAATGTCCTCTGGACTGGGAGAAGGTCACTGACATTCTTGAGTCTTTAGTAATTAATGTGAAATGCATCTGTAAGAATACAGCCTTTACTATAGAACCTGGTCTCATGTTTGTTGTGGGCTGTTTGTTTGTTTGTTTGTCACATGCTGCTGGGGATTGAACCCAGGACATCCTCCATAAGAGGCAGGCACTCTGCTCCTGAGCTATATCCCCAGCCCTTTGTTGTGGTTTTTGATTTGGTAAACTGAAGTTTACCAAGCAAGAGGTTTCCAAGGTCTTTCTTTTCCATCCTTTTGTGCCCACAGCACTGTGTGCCTCATCTTACAGGCTTTTCCCACAGAACTTTCCCCTGTGAAAGAAGAGGTGTCCCACACTATCCTGTGATTCTAATTACTGTCATTATTTTTTTTCTATTTCCCACAAATCCCGAGGCAGCCCTTTGTTCACTATCAAGTACATGAGGCCTTAAGTGCCAGTAAATACTCCAGTACAAGCACAAAGCTCCTCAAAACACCACCCTCCGAGTGACCCCCACAGCCCCGGTGCACCCCCACCCCCCACTCCCTGAGTTTGTGTTCTGCACAGGCAGACCCTATCAACCCAGGAAGTGCTGAAAACCCACTCACTGTTAAACCACCCGCCTCATCTGCCGCCAATGGTGACTTTGCCTTCTTTCACATAATGAGACTTTTAACTTCTGTATGTTTTCCTAGAAGCGTAAAGAATTACTGTCAGTTAATACTATTCTAAGGTGGGTTATGGTATCAGTTCATCAATGCAGCTGCTAGGATAGCCACTGCTACCATGTCAGGGCCTCTGTCTGGAAGCTGTGGGTGTTCAGAACACGTATAAGAGCCAGAGGGACCACCTTCCCACCTGATGAGGGAGAATGAGTAATCTCAAGGCAACTTCTGTGCAGCAGCTGTGAGTGATTTTTGGTTTAATCAAGGATTAAAGGATATGAGCTGAATATTTTGGCTCTTTCCATTTAAGACTATCAGGGTTTAGCATTTCCTGCTGGGTAAGGCTCTCCCACTCAGGAACGATGCTTGCGCTATCACGAAAACTGTGTGGATACTTGACAACAATGAATGAAAATAATAATAGTAGCCTAACTGTAGTTGTGGTAGATGCTCATTACAGCAGCGGTGTTATTGGTAGCATTTCATGAAGGCTTGTAGGTAGAGGCAGGGAGGACCTTGTGGTCAGCTTTGCATTGTGTTGATCAGCACTGAGAGACTGGAAACACTTGGCAGCCCAGCAAGCTTCTCAGGGTCATCTATTTCACCTTTTCAAATGTGCCTCTTGCAATCGGAGCAGATAATTTAAGGATCA